TTATTAGGATAAACCCCTTGAGAAGCACCATGTCGTTTTCAAGGGTACCCGACAAAAGCAACGTCTAAATGCATGGACACACCAGGCCAATTATCGGCGTCAGTGGGCGTCAGGCCGACACGCCCTACTCAGATTGGTGAGTCCCGTACCGTCGGGTCTTTTCAGCCGGGCCGACGCCTTTTCGGCCGAAAACCCGCCGGTTGCAGTCGGCCAAAGGCAGTTGGCAAAAGAAATCACTCTGATTGGCAGTTCAGCTAGCGAATCAGTGCATGAGAAGCGAAACGGAAGTGAGGGACCCAAACAAACTATTAAGAAGGAAAATCTGAGATTTCCTTTAACTCCAGCTCTTGACACAGGTTGGGGAAAGCCCCATGAGCTTCTCGCTGTTGAGTGAAAATGGAACGCACTCGCTATTTATTTATATCACGCAGTCTGTTCTTCTTCTCTCGGTTATCACACAGTCTGTCTTCCGGTTGTTGCCTCTTTTGAATGACGAATACACACTACCGCCCCCTGCTGGTAAGGAGAGTTATTGCCACTCACGCATGCGCAGTTCGTACGTGCTTCTGGCCGTCGGCTGAAGTCTTTGCGGTGTGTTCCAGTGCGACACATGGTCAAAACGCAGAGACGCGAGGCGACGCAACAGTCGGGGTCCGTCTCTGTCAGTTCTTTGTTGTCAGATTGGTGTGTCCGGGGCTTTACAGACAGACATGAACAAAATAACAGATAGCAAAGCATGACAAACCACGTACACTCTGTTAAGTAAAATTCATGAAGTAATACATACAATCATTACAATTTGATTGAGAGTCGTGTCTAATAGATCAGTTTCATCAATAACAAGATCAGACCAGCTTAAAGTGAGTATATTGTGTTTCTAATCTATTCTTACGTTTCATTTTGGAGTGAAAATTGAGGTTGGTAGAGGTTGCCAGCTCAGTGTCATCTGTCCATTAATATCTGTAATAAATGAATATCTAACATAATGTCCGTGCACCTCCTGAAGTTAAACCAAGCTGCTACTTCCTGTCCTATCTTTACTTCTTTAGTGAACCTTGATCTGACACGAGATGGCCTTTCCGTCCAACATCGCTCACAAAAGTTTCAGCTATAAATAT